CCCCAAAACCCCAAAACCCCAAAACCCCAAAACCCCTATAGATTTTTAGAAGATTGATACTTAGATTTTAGTTTGTGCGGTGGTTGACTTGGAGTAGGAATTTTGTGGCTCATGCTGCTTGGTTAGGTCGCTTGCTCTGTTAAGTGGTGTAAGTATTTTAACATCAGCATCTCCTTTCCATCCAATTCTGAAGAGTTCTTGATAATCTTTTCAACCTCAACCAACTGCTGAACTCTCGATTTCCTCTCTCGGAACTCTTTTGACCCATAAGAATCAGTACAAATCGCAATATAGCATTTTAAGCTATAAGAAATGAGTTGAGGGGATTTTCTCATCGCAAACCCCAGTATCTCTTCTATTGAGTCCAGAATTTCGATGACTACATCAAAAGGGGGTGTCTTGACCACCTCTACAGTACTTTTCACCATCTCCAAATACTTTTTACAAAACTCCGTCCTCCAGTCCGGGTACTGAGTAGTTTCAAATTTTAGTCCAGTCTCTTCCTTGGCTATCTCCCGTACTATCTTGCCAAGTTGTACGTGAAATTCAGTCTCTGTTACCTCAAAATTCTTAAAAATACCCACCAGATCCCCCAAAATCTCCAAATAAATTTCACAATCTACTAAATTTCCTTTGTCTTCGCTTAGTTCTCCCCAAATCTGGCTTAAGGACTTTCTGAAGATTCCAAGCAGGATTTCAGCTTTTGGAGTGAAGGGAGGGTGGATTTTGGCGATTGCAAGTAGAGCTTTTAGGATTAGGCTGAGGGTCGCCGGTCAGTGAGGGGTTTGGAGGGATTTTGATAGGAAGAGGTGCAATTGGGGGTCTTGGAGAGCACTATGGCAGAAGGAGGGGTTAGAGAGGTGAGGGAGGATTTTGGAGAGATTTTGGGTTTTTGGGTCGAAAGGGGTGTATTTGGGGAGTTTGAGGGGATTTGGGGCCGGGAGATGGGGAGGAAGGATTTCAGTCCGATTTTTGGCAAATCATGTTTGGCGGGCTTTTTTGCGGATTTTAAGCATGTATTGCTCTCTGTGTGTTAGATTTAGTTATTTACCTTTTTCAGGCTGGATGAGTGAAACTTATCTTAATAAACTCCATTCTTTTGGTAATCCATTCTGTATCTTCCATTTAGCGGATATTTTTTATAAATTCAATAAATTTAAAATTCTTAGGGGTTTTGGGGTTTTGGGGTTTTGGGG